AAAATACCAACACAATTTTTCACAGGCCTTGAAAAAAATTCTCAATTTTATGTGAAAAAAAAACCAAACACAGAATAGCTAAAACCTTGTGCAATAAAAGATCTTCTAGAGGCATCTCCATCCCTGATCTCAAGCTGCACTATAGACCAACAGTAATAAAAATGGCATGGTACTGGCAAAGAAAAAACTGGTGGGTAAATAAAATCAAATAAGATCCAGAAATAAACCCACACACCTACAGATACTTGATATTTGACAAAGAAGCCAAAACCATACAATGAAAAGCTTCTGTAAAGCAAAGGAAACTGTCAACAGAATGACAGCCTACAGACTGGGAAAAGATCTTCACCAACCCCGCAAGTCACATTTTAAACCGTGTTATTGGGTTTATATTCTGTTACCAGTTCTGCAATGCCTTTGGCCTTTGGTCTCTGATTTCAGCAAGGCATTTGTAAGTAGTGCAAAATGAGAGATCTTATTTAAAAATTTTAAACTCTGTAGAACTTAAAAGCTATATGATGTATTTGCCTGTCCTCCAAGAGCTCTGGGCTCAATCTCAGCATCACAGAAAATGAAGAAAGATAAGAATAACACTATGATAGTAAAATTTTGAAATTAGAAGCTGTATCTTGGACTGTGTTGGGTGTTGTGCTGACAATGACTTTTTACTGCAGTCTCTGCATAAATATAGTTAATTTTGCACATATCAAGAATAACATTTGTTATAAGAATCTACAGCTTTCTGTATTATTAAACGTCAGTGTATTTGTATATGTTTACTATGAAAAAATGACTCATAAAATAAAATTTATTAACACATCCTTTAAATATGTATATTTTGTATGTATATATTTAAATATGGATATTATTTATATACTATGTGAGTGCATATGTATGGGTACATATACATATATGTATATATGTGGATATATTTAGAACATGAGATCATAATCATATCAATTTTTTTCCTTTCTCTTTCTTCCCTCCATACTCTCCCATATACACTTCCTGGCTCTCTTTCAAATTCATAGTTTTTTTAATTTTTTTTTATTAATTACACTTTATTCATTTTGTATCCCCCCCATAAGCCTCTTCCTCCTCCCCTCCCAGTCCCACCCTCCCCCCATCTTTCTGCATGCATGCCCCTCCCCAAGTCCACTGAGAGAGGCGGTCCTCCTCTCCTTCTTTCTGATCTTATTCTATCAGTTCTCATCAGAAGTGGCTGCATTGTCAGGGTTCTAGGTTATCTCCACGGATAGACTTTGGTTGGAGTATGAGTCTCCGGGAAGTTCCCTGTGTTCAATAGCTTTTTTTAATTAATTGTTGTTACATACTTATGTGTGTATGTATGTATATACACATATATTCTTAAATGTAACCGGTTCCATATGTAAAATTTTACTTCTATGTATGTTTTCAGGGCTGACCACTTGGCATTGGATAGCCCATTGATGTGCTTTTCCCTAAGGAAGATGATTCTTCTTGCTCTCTGCATCTCTTAGTTGTCTGAAGTTCTGTGACCTCATGGGCTTTCTCCTGTTCTACTTTAGTGTGTACATCTTTGTTGTCCTTGTTTAGCTCTTGTTGGTGAGATGCTATGAAGCTTCTGACATTATTGGGAGAGACTATCTTATAGCAAACTTTCTTATCCTCTGGGTCTTGGGCTACTGTGCCTTTTATAATTCATCAGTGCTAAAAGCACACACCCCACATATTTACTATGGAGATTAAAAGAAATTAAACTGTGAAAGCATCATACCCTATGTATGACTCCTAGAAATTATCAGCAAACGTCAGTTGCTGCATTATCATTATAAATTACTATTTGCCATGCACTGTAATCAACTCTCTGTATAATCTCAAGACAGTCATGCCAGTGTTACAGATGAGCTACAAAGAGTGTGTAACAGTCCTTGCTAAACAGAGTAAACTGAAACTCAGAGTCCTAGGAACAAGCTGGTAAAAGGCAGAACAATAATTCAAAGCCAGGCCGTTCTGCCTTCATTTCATCCCCCATCACGTTCTGTCTAACACAATACCAGTTGCATACAAGGGTTCAAATTTTAGCTAAAAGTTAAAAGCAAATAAATGAAAAAAAAAATTGTTTCCCATTTCTATCTCCATACAGCAAGTGACAGTATGTTTCTAGGAGCTATGGTATTGTGCCACCCAGTTATTTCCATTACTTAATTAAGTTCCACTAAACATTATCACGCTATAGCATCTACCTGTGCTGCTTTAGTTACAATACAAAAAAAATCTAAAAAGTATAATAATACTTCTGTATAAATTACTCAACCTCTGTGGGATTTCCATGGAGCTGGAAACTCAAGGAATCTTCCCTTGTAGTTGAGGCAATAGGAACTAGTAGGGAAAGAAATACCAAAGCCAGGATAAAAAAATGTCCCATAATTCTCTACTCTTACCCACTGCTGCTATTTTTATGGTTTCCTGATTCCCGTCTGAGGTTTTACAACCTTTAAAGTGTTTACTCTCACTTTCTGTATATAGTCCAGATGAGTTTCATTATCTATGCCCACAACACTAATTATTTTTCCTCAGAAAAATTCCTTCTAACTGAAAACAAAATAGCCTTTCTATCCTATTTCTGGAGACTTCTCAGTCACTACAACTGGAAATTGAAAATGCAATAAACACATGATAATGACAAACCAATGAGACACATAATTCAATATCCAAAACAAAACCAAGTAGATTGCTTGTTTGTAAAGAGTCTCTTTCATACAGAGCCAACTGTGGTTTTAGAATACTTAGGGCATAGGAATAGTCCTGGGAAACAATTGTGTATAATAAAAAAATAGTTATCATAGAAAGCATTGGAAGGGAATGAGATCAGGTCCTTTGCATTATCATGAACACATTTCTACTATGCCTTCAATCATACAATGTTATAATCAGCAATGTCCTAAAATACTGGGTTGGAATGGGGAAAAAAAAAAGGAGATAAGCTAACAAATATCTCCAGGGTAGCTGATACACTCAAAAAATACCATCAATATACTAAACAGAGCCTGATGGCCTAGGCCTGTAACCCCAGCTATACCAGAGGCTGAGGATGAAGAATGACAGGTTCAATAGAATGATACCCTGTCTCCAAAAATTAAAAAAAAAAAGAACAGGGACGATCAGGGGTTCTATTTCAGTGATAGAGCCCAAGACCCTAGACAATCAATCCCTAGACAAAATAATCCTCCTCCCTGTAACTGCTCTCCTGACAGCCTCTTGCCCCATTGTCTTTCATTGCTTCAAGCAAGGTGTCCTGGCTCGGGGTCTAGCTTGCTTATCTTGGCAAAAATGAGTTTCTTCTTCTTCTTCTTCTTCTTCTTCTTCTTCTTCTTCTTCTT